CATCTCCGCGTACTTGTCATCGTCCAGGAGCGGCCGCACGGACTCCAGGTACTGCGGGGAGGGGACACGGGGTGAGCCCTGCCACTGCCACTGCCACTGTCACCCCACTGACATCATACTGACACCCCACTGCCACCCCACTGACACCGTCACTGCCACTGCCACCCCACTGACATCATACTGACACCCCACTGTCACCCCACAGCCCCCCGGGCGTGCGTACCCGGGCAATGGTGGCTTTCACGGGGGGCACGGGCAGCTTGGGGAGGGAGCTCTGGAAGCTGTAGAGGAGGGGCTTGCGGATGGACATGATCTTCATCATCATCTGCGGGAGGAGGAGGAGGAGGGATGGGGTGAGGATCCGCGGCTCGCAGCGCCCAAAAAAACGCCAGGTACCCACAGCTCCCAAAGCAGCCACGGATCCCAAAAAACTCCAGTCACCCACAGCTCCCCAAAAAAACTCAAGGTACCCACAGCTCCCGAAGCACCCACAGCCCCCCAAAAAATCCCAAAGCACCCAGGGCTCCCGAAGAACTCCATCCACAGCTCCCAAAGCAGCCATGGATCCCAAAAACCTCCACGTTCCCACAACTCGCGATGCACCCACAGCTCTCAAAAAACTCCCAGGTACCCCACAGATCCCGAAACACCCACGGATCCCAAAAAACCCGCCAGGTTCCCACATCTCCCCCATCTCCCGGTGCTCACAATCCAGAGGCGGGTGCTGCGGCTCATGTGCCCGTGCGGCTCGAACATCCAGCCGTGGTAGGAGAGCAGCAGGCGCAGCACCCTCCGGAACAGCAGCACGGCCGCCAGCCACGCCCCGGTGGAGAACAGCACCGTGCTGACCACGGTCTGCGCCTGGGGGGTCAGCGCCTCGCTGGGGACACGCGGGGGACACGGCGTGAGGGGCAGCCATGTCCCCAAAACGGGCCCGGGTGGGACTCCCGGGGAGTGTCCCCAAGTGGGGCTGTGCCTGTGGGACATCCCCAGGGAATGTCCCCAAGTGGGGCTGTGCCTGTGGGACATCCCCCAGCCCCTGGGAGTGTCCCCAAGTGGGGCTGTGCACTGTCCCCACATCCTTGGGGATGTCCCTGAGTGGGGTCCCCTGAGGGACATCCCCACATGGAGGTGTCACACACGTCCTGCGCCTTCTGGGGGTTGGGGTCCCTCTATGGGACCCCTTGGGGGATTTCCCCAAGCGGGGCGGTGCCCATGGGGTGGGGATGTGCAGGGTGGGGGTCCCACAAGTCCCCATGGCCGCACTGGGTGAGGGGGAGCTCTCCGTGGGACAGTGCAGCTGGGGGCTGTCCCCACCCCGGTGTCCCCCCCCGGTGTCCCCCCCCGGTGTCCCCCGTGCCCACCTGTGGGGCAGCCAGTGCTGGATGCGGGCGATGAGCCCCAGGGACGGATCCACCTGGCAGTAGCAGGAGCCGGCGGTGGCCATGACCACCACCATCCAGCTGGAGGGCGACGCGGGGTACACGCCGGTCAGGAAGATGTTCTGTGGGCACAGGGGGTCAGGGGGGTGACAGCGGCACTGGCAGGGGAGGGGACAGCGGTGGCCCAGCCCACCTTGGCGCGGACCAAGCGCTTTTTCCAGGAGTGGACGGCGGCCAGGTAGAGCTGGCGCACGGCCTCGCGGCTCAGGTGGAAGTCCAAGCCCTCGGGGGTGACCGTGAACTGGAAGGCCACGGCCTGGTGAGCCTCCGCCATCCTGGGGACCCTCTGGTGACACCTGCGGCGGGGAGGGGACACCGGGACGATGGACACCGGGGTGCTGCCTGCCACCGGCACGGAGCTGGGGACCCCGCGACAAGGGGTGGCACAAGGGAGGGGTGGCACGGCGGGTGCCCTCCCTCCCCGGTGTCACCCCGGGGGCGGTGCCAGCCCCTCGGGAGCCCCCCAGCCCGTGTCACCGCGGTGGCACAGCAGCGTCACGTGGAGCTGGCGCGGTGCCCACTGAGGGAAGGGTGAGCGCTGCCACCGCCGCCAGCGCCGGCCCCAGAGGCGACATCGGGGAGGGCACCCCAGCCCCTGCCCGGAGCCCAGCCCGGAGCCCGCGTGTGGCACGCGCTGTCCCCTGTGTCCCCTGCACACGCTCGTCCCCGTGTCCCCAGCGGGAATGCGGGAGAGGCGGCACGGACGCAACCGGGGGGCCCTGGGGTGCCACAAAGTCACTGTGTCACCACGGGGGGGGCACAGCCGGGGGTCACTGTCACCACGGGGGGGGCACAGCCGGGGGTCCTGGGCTGTCACTGTGTCACCGCGGGGTCCCTGGAGACCCTCCCCACTCCAGGGGCGCCCCAAAACCCCCCCAGCTCTGGGACCCCCCGGTGTGGGCACAGCCAGGGCCAAGCCCAAGGAGCGCCGGGGTCAGGGGGAGGTGACACTCCTGTCCCCAACACGGGGGAGCGCCTTTCCCACGGGTGGCCTTGGGCTGAGGGTGACAGCCACGGCTGGGCAGGCCCCGGTCACACCGGGGTGGCATCACCTGGCACTGATGGCACAGGTGTCACCCCCCCCACGGCCTGGCCTGGCACGGTTCGGCTCGGCCTTAACCCAGGTCCCCCAGCCCCGCAGGGCGCTGTGGCACTGCCCGGTGGGTGCCACCACCCCGTGTCACCCCGCGTGGCACCGAGCGGTGTGGCACGGATGGCACTGCCCACCCTGTCCCTGCCCAGCCCCGCGTGTCCCTCCGTGGTCACCGCCCCGGTGTCCCCCCGGTGTCCCCCCCGTGTCCCCCCCGCCCAAGGTCACCGCGTGGGGCCGGGCCCTGCTCCGTGGGTGGGGGGCGGCGGGGCCGGGAGCCCCGGAGGTGACACCCGGAGGTGACACCCGGAGGTGACACCGGGGGGGACCCCCGACCACGCCGCGGGGCGGAGGGCGCGGGGGTCGCTCCCCACGGACACGCGTGGGGGTCCCGGCACCGGGAGCGACGCCACGGGAAGGGACCGGGGGGGTTTCGGGTACCGGGGGTCCCCGTGCGCGCCCCCTCCCCGGGCCCGGTACCTGCGTGGGGGGCGCGGGGGCGGCGGCTCCGCGGGACGGCGGCTCCTGAGGCCGCGGCTGCGGCCGCCGGTAACCGGACACCGGCGGGGCGGGCGGCACAGCCCCGCCCTCGGGGGGACCGCGACACCCGGGGGGACCCCGACACTCCGCGATGGGGACGGTGACAGCAGGGATGGGGACCCAGATCCCGGAACGGAGACCGGGACAGGGACAGCGACACCCGGGATGAGGATCCCGACACACCGGGATGGGGACAGTGACAGCCTGGGGGACCCAGATCCCGGAACGGGGACTGCGGCACCCGTGGGGATCCCGACACACCGGGACGGGGACCGCGACATGCGGGGACACCCGGACCCCGGGGCGGGACGCGAGTCCTGGGATACGGGGCGGTGTCCCCGGGATAGCGACAGGAGTGGCCGGGCTTGGGGACACCGACGTGTCGGGACAAGGACCGGCCACCCCGGGACACGGAGCCCGACATCCCCCGGGGGTCCCATCCCGGGATGGGAACGGGAACAGGGACACGCGGGGATGGGGTGTCACCAACAGCCCGGGCACGGCGGGGGGACAGCGGGGACACCCCGGGGGACAGCGGGGACACCCCGGGGAGAGCGGCAGTCCCGGGGGGATCCCGACATCCTCGGGGGGATCCACATCCCGGGACAGGGACACGAACCCCGCACAGGGACCAGGGACAGGGACACGCACTGGGTCAGGGACACGCACCCGCTGCTGTCCCCGTGCCCCGCCTGGCACCTGCTTGTCACCTGCTTGTCACCTGCCCGACCTCTGGCCCCTGTCCCGTCTGTCACCTGCCTGTGCCCCGCCCAGTGCCCTGGCTGTCCCTTTGTCCCCTGCCCCCACCCCAAAGGGACATGGGGAGGGGTCCCCAGCACCCCAAAGTCACCCCCCGTGTCCCTTTGTCACCCCCCAGCCCTTCCCTCCCTCTGCCCCACGGCGATCGGGGGGCTGGGGGGGGCTGGATGGGAATTTGGGGAGGGGGCGATTTTTGGGGTAGGATTTGGGGGGTGGGAAGGAAGAGGAGGGAATTTGGGGATGGGATTTGAGGGGCGGGATTTGGGGCGGGATTTTGGGAGGGGGAATTTGAAGGGGTGGGATTTGGGGGTGGGATTTGAGGGGGCGGATTTGGGAGGGGGAAACTTGAAGGCGGTGGAGTTTTGGGGCGGGATTTTGGGGCACGGAAATTTTGAGTGGGTGGGATTTTGGGCAGGATTTTGGGGGCGGGATTTGGGGAGGCGGAATTTGAGTGGGTGGGATTTTGGGGACAGGATTTTGGGGCGGGATTTGGGGCAGGATTTTGGGAGGGGGAATTTGAGTGGGTGGGATTTTGGGGACAGAATTTTGGGGCGGGATTTGGGGCAGGATTTTGGGTGGGGGAATTTGAGTGGGTGGGATTTTGGGGACAGGATTTTGGGGACAGGATTTTGGGGCAGGATTTTGGGTGGGGGAATTTGAGTGGGTGGGATTTGGACAGAACTGCAGCGCCGGCCCCAGCGCGGCTTTATTGGTCTGAGTTTTACATTCTGCTGTCGAAAGTGGGGGGACCCCGGGAGCCCCCCCAGAGCTGCGGGGGGGACAATGAGGTACGAACAGGGGACCCCCACCCCCTTCTGCGACACCCCAAAAACCCCCAAAACTCCCCCCAAAAAACCCGTTACTGGCCAGGGGTGCGGATTTGGGGACCCCACCCCCCAAAATCCCCAAATCCCACCCTTCCAAATGGGGGTGGGGGGGGTCCCACCTCTGCTGCCGAATCCTGGGGTGCCGGGGGGGGGGGTGGCAGCCCCCCCAAAGCCGTTCCGGGCCCCCCAAAACCGTTGTGGTGCCCCCCCAAAACCGTTCCGGCAACCTAAAACGGTTATGGTGCCTCCCGAAAACTGTTCCGGGTCCCCCAAAACCGTTTCCAATCCCCCCCAAAAGTGCCCGGGGGGATCGGGGGGGGTCCAGGAGTTTTGGGGATCCCCTCAGGAGCAGCGGGCCTTGTGCTGGAAGTAGGCCTGGAAACGGCTCTGGGCGTAGTCCTGGGAAAAAATGGGAATAAAGGGAGGAAAAAAGGGGGGGAAAAGGGAAAATGGGGGAATAATGGGGAAAAATGGGGGGAAAATGGAATTTTGGGGGGAGAAAAAATAGGATTTGGGGGGTAAAAATGGGATTTGGGGCCAGCAGGAACCGGCACAGCTCGCCAATGTACTGGATAATCTATGGGGGAAATAACCCAAAAATATCCGAAAAATGGGGAAAAAAATCCAGGGAAAATTGGGGGAA